GCAGCAAATGCTACCTACATATACTGTTGCCACATAGTTGTTTTGTTTTGGTTTTTTTTAAGAAAAACAAACAAACAAACCCCTTCTCACCAACTCACAGCATGACCCCAGAGACTATGGAAAAGTAGAGATGAGCTCTGGTAAAATGTGTGACTGTAATGAGGAGAGTTTTGATGTCTGTCTCAAATGTCTTTTCACAGCTTCAATGTGGAGTTTGTCAATTCCATGTATTGACTTGGAGACTCTTGATTTAACTACAGCATGGCCCTTGAGGCTGGAGATGGTCTGGTTGTTTCCAAAACTTGTTAGCATCCCTAGATTGCAGAGACCATGCCATCTAATGGTATGAGTTCAAATCCAGAAAAACTCAAGAGTGGTTTCCAAAACCATTGGAGATGAACAGATTTTGCATGTGATTGACTCCCCATTTACAGTGCGAAAGGGCCTATATGTGAACAAGAAGGCCTACTATTGATAGCTCCTTTCTGGTGGGAAATAAGGCAAGAGTTGTCATTTCCATATAATAGGAAGAGAAGCTAAAGCTCAGGGCAATTTATTTCTAGAATCTGGCTCCTAGTCTGGAGCAGAGCTGGAGTCAGTGCCAGGAGGCCTGACTGCCAGGCCAGTCTCCCCCAGAAGTGAAGATACCACCAGACCATAGAATGATTCAGATTTGAAGGGACTGATCCAACTCAAAGCCAACTTCCAAATTAGATGAAGTTGCTTGGAGACTTGCCCATTGCGAAGACAACTCATGGCTTGAGTGATGCCAAGACAAAGCCCCTCAATGGGGAAACCATGGGTGGTAGCAAACTGTCTGTTCCTGCAAAAGATCTGCAATTCAGATCTGCAAAGCCAGACAAGGTTCCTCATGTTGTGCCCGGTTCAGCTGTTGACTCTCCAGCTGCTCTGATGCCCCAGAGGGCTGTTTGCCATGGGGGAGAGGAGCAGCTGGCAGCACTATGTGAAATCTCTGTGTTTTCCCAAGGTACCCATTGTCTGTCTGCAGCACCGGCCTCCACCCTACTTGCTCACTCAGCCGTGGCTGATATGTCTTTAATTAAAGAGGAGGAACAATTTGAGATTTCATTTTCTTTTCTCAACCGTGTTTCCTATTTCCATCAGAGTTTGCAGAGCCCCCTCCCCTTATTTTTGTCTTGTAGTTTTGCTGTGGGGCCTTCAGTTTATGGTATGTCTGCTCTAAAATAAGGAAGAGAGAGGATAAAATAGCTTGGTTTAGGCCAGGGAATTAAGATCCTGGGTGAGATGGCTGCTATGGTCATTAACATATTTACATTTTTGCTTAAGAGCCTGGTTGAGGATCAAGGGAGTTAAGGGTGATTGTCATTGAAATGCGGAGGAAACCTTGCATGAAATTGCCGTTAGTTTCCTATTGTCTGGGGGGGTGAGTGGGGAGGCAAATGGCCTTCCTCATCCCTGCACCGGTTTTGTTTGGCTTGTCTGCCCAAGTAGATGGGCAGAGGCAGAAGTAATTACGCTGAAGGAAGCCACTGTGCTGACTTAGCTGCTGGGAGGCTTTGCCTGGGGAGCACTCCCTGTAGGGCTGGACTTGGGGCTTAGCGCAGCCATGCTGCTGGCTGCCAGTCATCATCGGTCCTCTCGGTGAGACAAAGGTGCTTGGCTGGGCTTGTGGGACAACTGGCTCTTAACAAGATCATCGTGGATAAATACATGAAGCGTCTAGCAAAGGTCAGTTGCCTCTTTTATAATTGATGGACCCAAGTGTTTTACTGTGCCATCATAGGTTGGTTTTGCCATGTGTGGGGACACATATTCTGCAGGACCAGCTCAACCCATTGATTTTTGTGGCTAGCTGTGATATCAGAAACAGGGTTTGACACAGTTTGAAGTGTTAGGGTAGATTTTGAATGCTGTGATGACAGATGAGATTTTTTTATATGCTGAAAAAACTTGTTTAAACGTAAATAAGAGAACTCCCTCACAGCTGGGGTTTACAGTAAAACATTCTGCTCCAGGTTGTGGAAGCAGTGGTCTAGTCCTGCTCTGAGGCAGGCCTTTTTGGTTCGAATGCCAGTTTTTCATTGTTCACCTCTTACTCTTTCATGCTGTTCAGATCCATCATTTTAACTCAAACCTATTTCTGATTAATCATTAACTTAGTGCCAAAAAGAAAATTATACATAGTAATGTGAAAGAGGAGAACAGGCTCCCCTAGCACGTTTACACTACTGAAAATACTAGCTACCTTCTGCCACTGCTTTGATTTTGTTGGGACAAGCAGCAAGACGGAGAGCTGAGGGAGGAATGCTGGTCCTATTGGCGTGAGAAAGAAGTGTCCTTGGAGCAGAGGCTCATTTGCAGCCACCAGGCAGGCTTCAGCTGTTTGTCCATTTGGAAAGCCAGAAGCCAGTCACAGGTTATGGACAGTACTGTCTTGAGCAACAGGATCCTATCTTCTCTAGCACTAGTGAGTCTGGAGTCATTCATGTGTCCTTGTGGGCTGGCTTGAAGCTCTGAAGGGGTTGTGTAATTTCTCTTCTTGGTTACAAAATGTTTCTTTCTGGAATACTTTAAAGCAGAACAATCTGGGAAAAGCGGTTTGTGATCTGAGCAGCTTTTTTGTGCTTCGGGAGCCTGTGTGCTTCAGCTCTGTATTTCTTCTGCCCTTTGAAAGGAGTAGCCACGTTCCCCACTGCTGTGACTGTTGGTCTTTCCTACAAAGTCAAATAGTGAGCGCTCAGCACGGGAGGGAGAGTTCCACGCTTCAGTCGCTGACCCTGGCCCTCCAAGTAGGGAGACATGTAAGCCTTCAAGGAGCAAGTGGTTTTGTTCTAGACAAGATAGGTTCTGACATCTTAAATGTCAAGTTATAGTTAAAGTGGTGCAGTTAACTAAGATGTTGGTTAGGTCAAACGTTTTCAGGGAACAAGGATGAACACAGCAGTATTTATGGGATTGCAGGTGTTGGATCCCTTCACTGAATGACTCATCTCCCAGCTTCTGCAAATTCCCCTTGAGAAAGGTCATCTCAGGTATTATGCTAATAATACTTTATTTCCTGGGTATCTGTGCCTCTGGGATTTGGCATTTCACACTTAGGCTGGCTTGGGAGTCCCAGCAAAAGCCAGAAAGCATCAGAGCTGAACCCGAGTCCAGAAGCCCTGATTTTGGGGTTGTTTTTAGAATGTGATCTGTTAACTCAGAGCATCAGAGTGGGCTGACTGGAGCAGGGGAGCTAAACTTCTCTAGGGATTAATATTAAGCTCTTGTTTAACAGTAAACAGCTGATGAAATCCACCTTTGGCTCTGGATGCCAGCTGTCAGGAAGGTACATCCAGGCTACCTTGCAAGGACAGAACAACCCTTGGCAGAGGGTGGGGGAGGGTGCCCGGCTCTAGCTGTCCTCAGGTCACTTGGTTTGTCTTGTTCTGTGTAATCCACTTGCCCTAGCAGCTTCCTCAAAGAGGGGCTGGTGCTTTGACAAAATGGCAGCCCTGCTCCAGCAAGGGGCTGTGATCTCAGTTTAGACAACTCCTCCTCAACAAAGCAGCCAGTGATAGCAGAGTCCCCAGGAGCAGCCGGACAAAGGTGCTTGGGCTGGAAGGAGACAGAGCCAGATCCTCTCACATGGGCACCACGTCCTCTAAACAAGCTGCCCATGCCTGAGGCTGGTCTGTTTTGTAGCTGCTCTGCTTGCTGCAGAGCAGTGCCAGCTCCCTTGCCAAGGCAGCCTTTACTCTGCTGTGTCAGATCGAAGGCCCGACGCCTGTTCAGCTTTTGTTCTCTGTTAGGAAAGAGCGAAGATTGTCAGGACTTTTTTGGCTCTGCCAAGGCCTTTTATGTCCCAAATGTTTCCATGAAAAGACTCCCTCCTGACCACCCTGCCCCCTGACAGCCATTCAATCCAGCCAACAAGCTTGATATCATTATCTACAAAAGGAGGCCAGTGAGTAGCAGGGTCCTCACAGCCAAGTTTGGGAAATCAAAGGCAAATCTCCCAGCAACAGGGCAGGCAGAGATCAGACTGCACCACAGCTAGTGCAGGCTGGTCTGGCAGCTCGCGTCCACTCGTTTTCAAAGCACAAAAGAAACGTGCTTGGCATGATGCCAGCTCTGGCTTTGTCGGGGCTGGGGCTGTGCCCACCTGTGAACTGGCAGGCCCCCACAGAGTGCCCTAGGGAGTTCAGTGTGGGTTAGAGGCCACTGGAAACAATCATAAGTTTGAACAGCCGTGCAGAGCTGTCTCTTTTCGGTCAGTGGCATTTTTATGAGATTAACTACTTAGTCTGAGGGAAAACAGTGATTGTTTTGGTCAGAGTGGGATTCACTCCAAATCTCACCTGGAACTTTCCTTCTAATGACTCTGTTTTAAGTTCTGAAAATGGCATGTGGCTGCCTCGTCACTTTTAGTTTGATGTAATGTTGATCTGCTTGGCTCCCTGTCCAAAGACTTTCTTTCCAATCCATCTTAAAATAGAGAGCTCTTCAGCAGCGAAAGCCCTTACCATTTTGAAGGCATCTGTAGAGGTGATGTGGAAAGGTGACTGTCAGAAACACTGAGCACAGAAAAGGCTTGAGGAGGGATGGCATATTCCTGTGTTGCAATTGTGTTAGGAAATACATGAGTAAAACTGTTTTCAGTGTATTTTATCTCACAGAATGCATCTCTGGTCTGCCTGATAGTCCAGACAGAGAGGGATATGAAAAGATAGCCAAGAGAAATGATGATACAGAGGGAAGGAAGGTGAAGAGAGCTGACGTAGCTGAAGCTTGGGTGGAGGCAGGATGATGGTGTGGATGTTGATACCTGGGTTCACCTCTCTCTGCAGCAGGGTGCTTTGCAGTCCCTGGGTCGTGAAACCAAGCTGGAGATGGGGTGATTGCAGGGCAACACATTGCCAAACCTAGAGCAGCACCTGGGGACCCTGTGGATCTGCAGGAGGTGATGAATGTGTAGGAGGGCAGAGTTGTGTGTAATGTGGAATGGTTAATGCTGGTACTTTCCCCTCCTATCCCAGTTCGATCCTGACAACACCGGCTACATCAGCACTGAGAAGTTTCGCTCCCTTCTCCAGAGGCACGGCTCGGAGCTGGACCCCCACAAACTGGAGGTCCTGCTGGCCCTGGCAGACAGCAACTCCGAGGGGAGGATCTGCTACCAGGACTTCGTCAACCTGGTGAGTGCTCTGGCTGGCAGGGCTTGTCAGTCCTTGGCTCTGCTTAAAATGTTGGCTGTTGAGGGACAGTCTCCCTCCCTCCCTCTGTCAATGTCAGTGTTTGTTTGCTGTGTCCCTGCATCACATTCTGCGTGGGCTTGCTGAAGCATTCAGTGGTGACTGAACTCTCAAGCCAAGAGTCAAGTTGCTGCTGATTTTTCCAGGGAAACAAGTTTGCATGGGAAGAAACTGTGGAAGATGTAAGAGGAGCATGAAGCAATGGCTGCTGCTAGTTTAAAGGCTTTTGCTCTCAATATCAGTTGATAGCTGTCATAAAGAGGCATTTGTTTGCAAGCAGAGGTCTGTCAGTCTGGATGTCTCCTGTTTTATCTAGACATTTCACCACTTCCAGACAAAAATATATAGATAACGTGTTGACTTGCTGGGTGGAGTCATATTGCACTGCTGTAGGCATCAACAGCAAGAGGGATAAAGTGTTTGTAGGTCATGTTCATTTTATCCCAGGTGAGATGTCTCAGACTGCATGAATCATGATCTGGATGCCTCTCTCTCTCTACTAATGAGTCAATTAGTGAAAGGATCTCTCTGTTTCTTGTCAAGGCAGTTTGCATGTCTACATCTGTGTTGACTCACCATTGTTAGATGCCCAGAATGGCCTAGAAATGTTGTTTGCAAGATAGGGATCTTGAACAGTGGCCATTTCAGGGGCTTTTCCCTGTTCTTGCTGTCATTCCCCACCTGAGTCCCTGTAGATTTAGTGCAGCAGTAAGAGAAACCTGGGGGACAAAGTCAATGACCAATGAAAGCTAGTGACATCTCTGAAGTTTCACTGGAAAGCTGGATGTGTTCTTGATGCAAAGTATAATAATTTTCATCTCTACTGTGTTCCTGCAGTCAACATGGGGATTTGAAGTCTCCATTTGTCATGGTTACTCATGTATGTGTTCTTGGTTAGAAAGAAAGTGTCTTCCATATGTCCTGTCTTCACATTAATCAGAAAAGCATGGTAACAGGGCACAGCTGTCAAGGGTCCAGGTCATGACCTCAGTGAGGCTGTGGTCAGTCTGAAGGTAAAATTACTGTGATGCAATGACATAGATCTGCTGTATCTCATCAAGCTGTCTTGTTACCCGCTTGTGTGTATTTAGGTACACAGTAAAATAAATGTAGCAACTATTAAATAGATCACAGTGAGTGTGAGGTTTTCCTCAGCTCCAGCTTAATAAACAGTGTGGTCAATGGTACTCTGTGATCAGCACTGTATTTATAGTAACAGCTGCTTGTTGCATGGTTTGGTATATTCAAAGTACCATGCAAGCATTCACTAATTGAGCTGCACAACACTTAGGTAGCAGGAAGAGGTATAATCTAATTTCTTTTATAGAAATGATGGCCTGGGGCCAGCCAACATGTTGGCAACAGGCTCAGGAACAGAACCGGTCTTTTTCCTCTCCTTGCTCCACTGAGCTCAGGAGCAGCACAAGCTAATGAGAGGCAGGTGGGAGGTGAAAGGCTTGGACATCCTCCTCCTTTGGGAATAGGAGATAGTGCCAGCTCACACCCACCTGATGTGATTCCTGCAAAATGGCAAATTTCCTTTGCTGCTATTGAATGACTCCTGTAAAGAAGCCATTGATTTTTCTGTCATCAGTCCCTCTATCCTCATCTGCATTTTTTTGCACTTTCTAATCAATAGGCAGTGCAAATGCCAGAACATTAAACTACTTAAAAACAACATCTCTCTTCTCACTGCTCCTCTAGCTGCTATTGATTTCCAACATAAAAACTTTTTAGGGCTCTCTTTTCCCTAGTTTCCTGCTTCCAAACCTGCCTTTTGAACTTCCTGATGGAAAGAAATAGCACAGTTGACACAGAATCACTGTGCAATTAGTGATTTCATTTACTTCATAGCTGTCAGTCCTGGAAACTGTGTGGTGGTGTTAAAGTGCATGCTTGTGCTTGATGACCAGCCATCTCTGCTTTTTGCTCAGGTTCATTTGTCTGTTTCAGTAGCTTAGCAAGAATTGATCTGCTCCCAAAAATGATGGTGCTAGATGTGGGGAAGGGAAAGGCTGACCTTCTCCTAGATCCACAGAGGTTTTACAAGCATGGCTCTGTGCGTGTGGTTTTCCTTTTCTCTATCAACATTCATGAGCAAGTACTCTGACACGATTAGAGAATCTCATGGCCTCCCAAATGTGTCCAAGGTACTGAAACTTTGAGCAAGAGGTAAAACTGCATTAATAAAACTCTGGCCACTGGAGAGGCCTTGAGGGGAGAAGTGGGGCCGATTATCAAAGATGTACTGCAGTGCAGTTGTCAAAGCAGAGGTGTGGAAGGAATGAGACTCCTCTGTGTGTGCATGTCTCACAAGCAGCTCTTTTGGTTTCTTTCCAAGCATGGAGATGGAAGGAGCTGATGAGCTGCCTGCTCAAGCTACTATGAAAAAAATTAACTCTATCCCAGCCAAAACTAGTACAAACATGTGCTGTCTCGCAGAACCCAGCAGAAAGTAAGGTTTAACCACTAGGCATCCAGAGAACTCTGTCTTCGATGATCAGTTCCTGGGATATGATATCCTCTCTGGTTTTTCTCTCAGCTTTGCCATTGTTGATAAAAATTGAGCAGGGAGGGTCTTCCCTTTTTTCAGCCTTGTAGAACCCTTGATCTTTGCTGGGTTCCCTGGAAGCATGACAGAATATGATGCTGATTATCCTGCAGGGTGCTTGGCTACTTACTAGAGAGTCTGATGCTGAGAGATGCTGTTGGTGACTACAGAAGCAGCTGTGACTCTATGAAATTATTACTTCCAAAACACACTACAGGCCATAAACCTTACAGAGCAATAGTGTTAACACTTTGTTTCCTCCAGGGTACTGCATGTCCCAGAGAGGGCAGTAAAAAAATGCTCACACCCATATGCTCCAACATCATCATGAGCACCAAGAACTTCGCCTGCTCTCTCAGACACTGATCCCCAACTAAAGGGCTGCTATTGAGCAAAGCTGTGTTCTTCCCTGAAGTCCAAAGTGTGTTGTGACATCTAGATCCACCAAAAATGTAATTTGAGAACTTCTCACCTTAATAAGGTAACCCAGATGTACCCATACAAAACATATGCCTGTTCTCAGCTCAACAAAGCAGCTTAAATTTCTGAAATTAAAAATTTTACAGGATAAGAATAGACCCTAGAAATCACTCACTAAATAATTTGAGTAATGATTAAATTCAGGGAAGCTGAAGACTCCTAGTGTGATCTGCAAACAGAAAAGGCTGAAAAAAAAATCAGATAGGCAGCTCATTGGGAATTATTTCTTCTCTGTACATATGAGATTCATCTTGCAAGAATGGCAGAAAGCAGTTTCAGATGGGATTTCTTATCCTGTGTCTGAGACAGTGCAGAATAACAGAAGTGTTTCCTGTACAAGTGGAGATGTCTTGTGCATTTCTGATGTCTGGTTGCTTTTCTGCATTGTGAAGAGAGACGCTAAAAATGCACAGTGAAAATTCTGGCTATGAACAGCATAGGCCACAGGAGGAGATAACGAACAAAGCTGTTTACCTAACTTTGCTACTTTTAGGGTGGAGAGAAGCCAGGAGGTAATTATAGTTGAGATGTTATTTGCTGGGATCCTTGCTGAACAGTTGCTGCTGGCAGTCCTGCACTACTTTGCCTAGTATCTTGTGAACTGTAACGGAGCTAAAGAGCTCAGTGAGGCCCTGGAGAGACTCAGTCTCATTCTCTGGCTAAACATTCCTTGTCTTTTCTGCCTGGGAATGTGGATTGTTGCTTTGGACAGGCTGCATCATGGCTTTTCCACCTCCTCACCCTCTTGATGCATTCTTGTTCAGACACCTGAGCAGAGGCAAGGGGGTGCAGTGGAGCTTCTGAGACCTTATTTTGCTTGATGGAGGGGCAATATGGACCCAGTTCAGGCTGTGGTGGTAGCTTATATTCTCTTGCTGTGAAAATCAGGTAGTTAACTCCTGGACTTGCTCTGGACAGGGAAAAGTTTTACAGAACTGTATGTTTAATAATGCAACTTTTGCTAGAAAAGTAAATCACAGCTTACACTGAGACAAAAGCAAAATCTGTTCTGCAGCCTAAGAGATTTCTCTGCCAGTGCAACTCTACAGATCACTGCTGAAACAAATGTGTTGTAAAGGCTGACCTCAGTGCATTCGGTGTGGTCCAGATTGGACCTGCTGGTATTGGGCAGGAGGACTTGAGAAGGGAATGTCACTGTTCCCTGTGCCAACACTGGCAGTATGCTGGGAGGTGTCCCTAGTGCATACTGAAGGTCTTTCTGTCCCTGCTATGGATCTCATGTTCAAAGGACAGGACTGGAAGTCAGGTGGGCCTAAGTTTTGTTCCTGGCTCTGCAACAGACTCTCTGTGAAACCTGTGGAAGCCTGTCTGTGCCTCATGGGTCTGTGTCTGCAGCAGATGGAAGGAGGCAAAAGTTGCATCTCACTTGGGGTTCACGATTTTGTCAAAGTCGATGGCAGTTCTCCAGTGGAAGAAGAGCCAGGTGCTAGGGAACCAGCTCTCTGGTGAGCACTTGCTTGAGGGGCTGTGTTGGATCTAGAAGAGCTAAGGACAAATGCCATTCCCTGAAGGCAATGGTATTTCAGCATGTTTGGGAGGAATCTCTAAGCTTCAAGACGGAGTTCGTGTGACTTGACAAAACCGAAACACTGCTGCTTCCAACAGAAGTGTTCAGCTGTGATTTGTAGTAACTTGAAGCTGATGTAGCATCTCAGTAGTAAGCAAAATATATTAGCTAATTAAACTCACATTGTTCATTTTCCAGATCGAGAATTAATACCTGCCTTGCTTTCCCTGGCCTTGCTGGCTTCTAGGGACAGGCTAATTCTACCTCATTTTCAGTGAAAAACACACTTTTTGTTTTTCTTTTTTTTAAGTACTGTGTAACAATAATTAGGTCACCCTAATCCAAACTTTGCGGGTGCCAGCACACTGTACCCTCCAGAGAAAG